ACAAGAGAGAAACTTGTGCTGGAACTTTGGCATCTGGTTCGGAGCGGTGGCGCTACATTTTGGCCGGATAATGAGCGTTGGGCGAAGCGGAATTTAGTTTTTCAATTAAAAACAAAAACATTTTTTTTTTTTTTTGTGGGACACGTTGTAGTCTTTGCCTTTTTTTGACGTTATGGGGCTTGGTACGCTCTTGAAAGACAGAGGAGCGACGTATTTGAGATGCGTTCAAGAGAGTCAGCCCTGTTCATTCTGAATTTTTGTTCTCGTTCGAGACAGGAGCTTAATTTAGACGTTAATACCCTTATTCTGAATGACCTACATTTTCGCTACATAATATGTTTTGCAATGGGAGGTTTCCAGAAGTGGTACTGGAGACGGGACAGCTGAGTATCGCTCTCGGGAACGTTGTGCTTCGAAGACGTAGTGTGGAGAAGAATTTAATTGTCCATGAATAATTAAGTAGGCTCGAAGTTGAAGCTTCTTTTATAACATTAGGTTCTTTTTAGAAGAAGTGCAGCTTCGGAACGCTGGCCCAACAGAAACTAGCCATTTTCAACTGAGATCCAAATAAAACACACCTTCAGAGATTCGTCGCCCAAGATTACAAGCCTGAAGGGCAGTACCGCAAAACCGTTTATGTAGTTGAAAGACGCGCAATCTCATAAACCTGTCGTAATAAACGAAGCTCCGCTTTTATCCCAAGTATATATTAGGCTGATAGGAAAGCTACAGGTGTGAGCGGATAGTTTTTACCTATGCTTCCGCTGCGAGTACGATTATTTTGTCCAGAGGCTTTCTGGAGAGGAATTTTCTTGGTGAATTTGGAATGATTTCAGAATGCCCTTTCTATTCCTATGTTCTTCAACGAGCTTGAGTATCACTTAGGACGGTAGACCGCAACCCAAAGCCTGCAGCGTAAATGCCGCCCCCCCCCCCTCCCAGGTTGCCGCAATCTTGCCCGTTTCCACATTAGTGATCACGTGACGTCAAGATGGCTGCGCCCAGAGGTGGACCAGTTCAGATTGGCCAGATCATGGTAAGCAGAGGAGCCCTCTGGGTCTGCGTTCCAATCTTACTCGAATAGATCCGAGTTACTCCTGTGGGTCATATCACGTGACAAGACCGATAGAGCAACTGGACGCGGGTAGGTTTTCGCACGCCAAGGTACAGAACATTTACCCTAGAGTGAGATCAAGTAAATTTTAGACCGCGGCCCTGCTTACCGTAATCTGTCCAATCTGATCTGGCGCACCTATGGGCGCAGCCATCTTAAAGTCGCGTGATCACGAATGTGGCAAACGGTCAAGATGGCGGCAACCGGGGGGGGGGGGGGGGCTGCCGTTTTTGGCCGCTGGTTTACTGCTCTAAGTTTACTCAAGCTCGTTGATGTTCTTGGGCAAGCAAGCAAGCGCTGGCACCTACCGCATTAAAGGCAAAATAATTTAGCTTTCCTGGATCGCTCCAAATCCCCGAAGGAACTTCCTCATCAATCAAGGAGTTCGCGCCTAAAGCCTTCGCTGCAATTTCTTTTATTTTTTCTGGATTGTGAGCGGGTGGAGTCAGAAAATATAGCTTGAAATATGCGATATCCTTTTGGGAATGAGTGCAAAACATAGCAACATCATTATATAGCCATCCAGCAATTTTGGCGCCACCTCATTTCACCAATGTTTCGAACATGTAAAAATGGCGATGTTCAGCTTCGGAGAGCAGCGTGTTATCGTTCATTTTATGCAAATTCTTTGTATCGGGCAATTTAAGCGCATGAAAACGTGTTCAGTGATGGGTTTATTTTATCAATTGTCAAAATGAACCAAAAAGTAATGCCGTTTTTCAATCTCAAAACCGAACGCCAGTCGCAACAATGGGAGCACAGCGACTCCCCGCCACCAAAGTTTCGCGCTACCGCCAGTGGAGAGGAGACGGAGATGGCCATGTTCTAGGTGGGTGAGGGGAGCAAACTCAACCACTGGATCACGAATTGCACGACAGTGACAATGCCGTCCTACAGGAACGTTATAAAATCTTTTTTTTTTTCCGTATAGGAGAAAGAAAATAAAAAGAACGACCGGGGAAAAGACCGCAGTCACGCTCTTTCATCCCAGCAATGTTCCTCCTCATCGAGCGGCACATCTTCATACTTTTATTTACGGAAACTGAAATGGATGCTGAGCCGAATGAAATTATTCTTTAACTTGCTACATGGTAAATATCTTATGAATATTCACAAATATGTAACTGACGAAAACTCTGATTGTGCGACTAGACCCAAGCACACCAAATAAATTACCCCTTATCGCATTAACACGGACTATACATAAAAGAACTTTCATTGTTAAATTAATTGATCACACTAACTGCCTGCCAACAAACGTGGCAAATGGTGTGGATGTCTCAGGTTTTATAGGTTCTTTGTTATTGTATGTGTAATGCTATGCCAGTCTGTGTGATAGGAAGTGCTCGCGGGTGCTATTACACTCTACGGTTTACTCTCCTGCTTTGGTTTCACGGCTGGCAGTATTTTTAAACAAAATTAAATAAATAAACTTTGAATTGATTGCTTGGGCCTCATACTTCCCTGACCTTGTACCCAGCGTTTCTTTTTGTTGTTTTAAACTAAGAAGTTAACTTTTTGCCGTCGATGAAGTGTTCCGCGGTTCCGTCGACAACGTCCCGGTGGTCTTGACAGAAGTCTTCGCTGAGGCTATACGATCATGGTGTCAACGTTGGAAGCAATGTGAACTAAACGTAAGTATGTAGAAAAGTGACGAAGGTTTTAGCTTTGATTGCATGCACTTTATAAATAAATTAGGAGACCTTAGTACTTGAACGCCACTCGTAGAGTGAGATCTGTTGTAAAACAAAGGCCACCTTTGGGCACATTTCTAAGCACAAGCGCAAACAAAAAGTCACCAATGTTAAAAAAGACAGATTAGTTTTAAAATTTTAGATTCAATTTGAGTAATTTTTTTATTACAGAAAAACCAGAAATTTAATATTACGAAAGCGTTTACTTACGTAGCTATGAGCGCAACCAACATTAAAATGTCTTTTTTTTATACTGCTTTTGTAGATTTATTTCCTAGCGGCAGTCACGCGAGATGTTGGGATTACTTTAGATATCGCCGTTTACTTGTCGCCAAAGACTAACTTTAAGTGTTTCGTCATCACCGGTTTCAGGAGCTGTAGACATTTCAGGGATACGGGAGGAGGGCAGTAATGACTGTATTATTTAGGAGCGCGCTGCGGGTGTTGAAACCCAATTACATTTTCTTTTTTGTTTTTGAGAAGTGAAAGGCTGCTTTGTTCTCAAAGGTATTCACATAAAACAAATAAAAAGTAAAAAAAAAAAAATTGGTGAGAACGAGGAGCAATAAAGCTCAAGTAAATGTAGTGCAATATTTAAAGCTTGCTCTTACAAGCTGTGTTTGGTCTCATCGAGGCGTTGACGCAAATATTTAACCGTAATAAAGCTTTTTTTTTATTTTTAGGAATGATTTTTGCGTGGGAAACTCTTTTTCAAAACAAGACACCCATGGGAGTCTCTGTGCGCAATTCTGAGCACTACTCTTAAAACGAGCCCTTTACCAGACTAACCATATTATAAAAAAAATTAGGGCCACTGAAGTCCCACACTCCACTTCTTTCATGTAGACTTGACCTATGCATAATGGTTGAGTCTCTGCGCTCAGAGTGATAATGTGGCCGCTGTCAAGTGATTCATGTCTCCTCTGTTTTCTCTTTCTACCATTTTCCATCTCCCCAGCTTCTTCTTTTGCTAACACAGTGTAGCCAACCACGTGACTGACTTTCCAAATGCTCTACGGGAAAGGGAAACACGGGAAGTTTATAGGGGGTATGAAAAAAGAAAAAAAAAAGAAAAAAGAAAACACCAAAATCTAGCGACAAAAGAAAAACCAGAAAAAAAAAAACAATCAAATCAAGTGCCTTGTAATATTGTATGCCTCAGGCCTGTTTCCTTATCCAAGCATCTAATATCTTCTGTAGTTTAACAAGAGCGGATCAAAACACAGAAAAGAATCATAAGGCTTAACGGCAGTAGATATACACATGCTTGCCTCATTAGAATCATGGATAAAGGAAAAATAAGCGTTTTTTTCAAAATAATACCCCAAAATATTTTCGACGCAGTGTCCATGTCCTTTAAATTTCAATGATTTTCTTTTTGATTGAAAAACTTCATCGATTGTAAGGAACTTTTAAACACACAACTTACCTGTATTAAAAAAAATAAAATAAATGGCAATGAAATGTGTTCTTGAACTACTTCGTCAGTACATTGTGCTCCAAACACCGCTGTATGACCAATGTTGCCCGATTGCAGCTCTTCAATATGCACCTTTTAATTGGTATAAGTGTATAATTAAAAAAACAATAGAAGCACGTAGTTTATATTGCCCAATAAACGCAAAAAGAAGAGCGTTTTTAACAAAACAAAAAGTAAATTTGGTAATACAAGAACCTCAAATATTGTAATAACATACGCCACTTCTCCTATCTCTTACTAGGAAAGCAGGGAAGCCCGCTTGCCGTTGAAGCACGGCGCGTTGACGCAAGTCGGTGGTCGTTCCGCCAAGACGAATCCGCGTTTTATCGCAGAAATATCAAAATGTCTTATCAAATACTTTTGGAATGTCCCATATCGCTCCAAGCACGCGATTTAAGGAACATATAAATAAGGCAGCACGGACGTCCGTTGCAAAAAGCGTTCTAGCGAAGACGAGGCATTCTGAAACACACCAAATCATCGGTGCATGTTTTGCCAACATGTTAGCGAACCACAATAAAATCACGGGCAATATACCGCAATTCATAATCTGTTTAAGGGTAAGCTTATTGCTTTCTGTACATAAGCATGCTGTGGTATCAGTGTGATAACAGTGTAACAGTGTGACAAAGCTACACGTGGTGTGCTCTGGTTATCGGTGACGTCCGCAGGATTGTCTATAAAAGGGCTGACGAAATAAAACACAGGGGCTTCCTTTTCCCAGACGTCCGGTGCGAATGGTTCATTCTTCGTTGCTCGCAATCGCACGCCGATAGTACGGCGGCGCGACATGGTATCAGAAGTGGGATATCATCAGTCCAGGTTCGCGAAAGCAAGCGTAAAAGACTATGGCGAACGAAACGCCACCGGCACCTACGGGAACGTTTGGACTTCAACAGCCACCACAGCTGGACTTCGACAACACAACAGAGTGGCCGGCGTGGATAGAACATTTCGACGATTACCGCTTCGCCACAGGCATCAACGAAAGAACCGGTGAGGCACAAGTCCGCACGCTATTGTACACAATGGGCCGGCAAGCAAGGGAAATTTTTGCCACGTTCGACCTTTCGGCAGAGGAGGCAAAGGACTTCGACCTCGTCAAGCGAAAGTTCGACGAGCACTTCGTCAAGGAACGAAACGTCGTGTATGAAAGTGCATGTTTTCACCGAAGGCTACAGAAGCCAGGAGAGTCCGTGGACCAGTACGTTACGGCACTGCACGTCCTCGCAGACCGCTGCGAATTCGGTGAGATGAAACAACGCATGATCCGGGACCGGTTTGTCGTGGGGCTCCATGACGACAAGCTTTCCGAAAACCTGCAAATGGACGCCAAGCTGACCTTGTCATCGGCGTTAGCCAAGGCACGCCTCAAGGAAGTGGTGCACCAGCAGCAGCGAGAACTTCGTTCAGGAGAGCCCGGTCAACAGGCCTGTTCTTCGACGAAAGAGGACCTGAACGTAGACGCCGTGAGCCGACGCCGGGATGCACCTCGAAGAAAAGTCTACGGGTCGGAAACATCACATCGGGACAAGCAGTGTTCTTTCTGTGGAGGCGACCAGCATCCAAGGTCGGTGTGTCCTGCAAGGGCACAGAAGTGCTTCAATTGCCACACCAAGGGACATTTCAGCCGGGCCTGCAGGAAGGAGTCGGCGTCGTCTCCAAGAAAGGTACAAGTGTCATCCGTACAGCAAGAGACTGGCGAACTTTTTCTGGGGGCGATAAATGTTCCGGACGCGAAAGCGCGGTATGTCCAGATAACCTTGAACTCTGTACCAGTGTTTGCTAAAGTTGATTCAGGAGCAGAAGCCACTCTTGTACCGTCTACGTTTCCAGGCATTCCGTTTAGGCTGGAAACAGCAAGCGAAGTACTGACTGGTGCGGGAGAAAATCGCCTTACGGTACTTGGAAAGTTCAAAGCTAAGTTAATCTGGAAGGACAAAGTGTCGATGCAAACTGTCTATGTCGTGAGTCCGCTTCGCCAGGTACTTCTAGGGTTACCAGCCATAGAGGCTTTGGGAGTTGTAAATTTCATCGATGGTGTGTCTCTGGATAAACAAAATTATGATGTTCTGTACCCGCAGGTGTTCAATGGTCTTGGAACCATTCCGGGAGAATACAACATCCGATTGAATTTGGATGCGGTCCCGTACGCTATACACGCGCCCCGACGAGTCCCGATTCCTATGCGTGAGGCGGTAAAGCAAGAAATTGAAAAAATGGAAGGGATGGGAGTCATCCGGAAGGTCGATGGTCCTACAGACTGGTGCGCCGGGATCGTTCCGGTCTTAAAACCGTCCGGAGACGTACGCGTGTGTGTTGACCTCACACAATTAAACAAAAATGTCCAGAGAGAGCGATACGTGCTCCCAACGGTAGACCAGGCATTGGGACTGCTCGCGGACGCGACGTATTTCTCGAAGTTAGATGCTAATTCGGGATTTCACCAGGTAAAACTAGCAAGGTCATCCCAGGAACTAACGACGTTCATAACGCCCTTTGGAAGGTTTTGTTTCACTAGACTGCCCTTCGGCATTACGTCAGCGCCTGAATACTTCCAAAAAAGAATGTCGGAGATTCTAAATGGCCTCCCTGGCGTAGTTAACATGATGGATGATATCCTGGTGTTTGGTTCGGACAAAGCACAACACGATGAGCGCGTGAAAAAAGTCATGGACAGACTCGCAGAGTCAAACATGACACTAAACGGGGCAAAGTGTGTGTTCGGTGTAAAAGAAGTTAGCTTTCTAGGTCATCTTCTGAGCGCAGATGGCATAAGGCCTGACCCCAAAAAGCTGCAAGCGGTCAAAGATATGAAATCGCCGACAAACGTGTCGGAAGTACGAAGCATTCTAGGTATGGCCAATCACTTGGGCCGTTTTCTGCCTAATCTCGCTCAGAAAACTGCACCGTTGCGAGAACTGCTAAAAAAAACCACGGAATGGGCTTGGGGCCCCGCTCAGGAAAGTGCTTGGAACGATCTAAAAAGCATGATTTGTTCTTCCGAATGTATGGCTAAGTATGACCCAACCCATCCGACAATCCTTTCGGCAGACGCGTCGTCATTTGGGCTTGGAGCCGTTCTCTTACAAGAGCAGCAAGGGGTACGACGGCCTATCGCTTTTGCTTCGCGGTCTTTGACCAAAGCTGAGATTCGCTATGCGCAGATCGAGAAAGAGGCGTTGGCACTGACATGGGCTGCCGAAAGGTTTGACGAGTACCTGAGGGGCTTAGACACGACGTTCGAGACCGACCATAAGCCTCTAGTTACGTTGCTGGGACAAAGTCCGATAGATGTGTTGCCGCCTCGAGTTCAGAGGTTTAGAATGAGGCTAATGCTCTATAGGTTTAAGGTTGTGTTTGTACCGGGCAAGTGCGTTGCAACCGCCGATGTTTTGTCGCGGGCACCTCTCAATCAAATGCCAATGGAAAGGGAACGTCTTACAATTCAAGAGGTGTTAAAGTTCTCTCAAGGATGTTTAATGGGTCTTGAAACAGGTGACAATTCGTTGTCACGTGTAAAAACAAGTCAAACTACAGACGAAGTGTGTAAAACGCTGGCTCAGCTGTCTCGTAAAGGCTGGCCTAAAAAACCGTCCGTCCCGTGCTCCGTTCGGCAGTACTGGCAAGAGAGGGCTGGCATAACTGTGTGTGATGGCTTTTTGTTAAAAGGTACAAGATTAGTTGTTCCCCAGGCACTTCGTGAGGAAGTGTTATCTCGCCTGCACGATGGGCACCAAGGAATCAGCAGATGTCGAGCTCTTGCACAAGAGTCTGTTTGGTGGCCTGGCCTAAGCAAGCAACTGGCAGTGATGATAAAAAACTGCAATGTGTGTACCGAGTTCAGTTTTCAGAAGGCTGAACCGATGATGCCGACCATGACTCCACGTTTTCCATGGGAAAGAGTAGGGGTCGATTTGTGCAAAATAAGGAACTCTGACTATCTTGTGGTTGTAGACTATTTATCAAGGTACCCGGAAATCTGTGTTCTCCCTTCGACTGGCGCAACCGTTGTTATAGAAAGGCTTAAAAGCATATTTGCTCGTCATGGGGTGCCAGAGACTGTGGTCTCCGACAATGGTCCACAGTTTGCATGTTGTAATTTTGAAGAGTTTGCGAATCTATACGGTTTCCAACACGTCACTTCAAGCCCGAGGCACCCTCAAGCCAACGGAGAAGCGGAAAGAATGGTGCAGACAATTAAGCGGCTGGTGCTCAAATCAGCCGACCCTTACTTAGCTCTCCTAGCCTATAGGGCCACCCCAGGGATTACCGGCAAAAGCCCGTCAGAAATCCTTATGGGTAGACGTCTACGGACACGCGTACCAATGCTCCCGCAGCTGCGCCTTCAAAGGAACGTTGACTTTAAAATGTTGGCGATAAAGGATCGTCAACTAAGAGAAAAGCAGCGCAAAAGCTTCGATAGGCGCCATCGGGCTAAGAAGCTTTCTGAATTGAAGGCGGGCGACAAAGTGTGGGTTTCTGACAGAAAGGCAAGGGCAACGGTCGTGGCCCAAACAGAAAAACCAAGGTCTTACTTGGTTGAGACTGAGCCAGGGGTGAAGTTAAGGCGAAACCGCCGAAACTTAAAGGTACTGCCAGCGGAGGCAGAGGACGATGAAGGCTACGATATACCGGACAGTGAGAGTGACGTAAGGGTCCAAGATTCGGAAGCTAGAAGCGATATAAGTTGCGATCCTTCTCCAGTGACTACGAGGACACCGACGGCCGTCGTAACCACAAGATCAGGTAGAGTAGTTAAGAAACCGATCAGACTGGGGATTGATGATTAAGCGGTATCCTGAAGAGTGTTTCAGTTCTAACGTATTTTCTTTGTTTGCTAACATGTTATTATTTTTCTCCAAAGAAAGGGAGGTGTGGTATCAGTGTGATAACAGTGTAACAGTGTGACAAAGCTACACGTGGTGTGCTCTGGTTATCGGTGACGTCCGCAGGATTGTCTATAAAAGGGCTGACGAAATAAAACACAGGGGCTTCCTTTTCCCAGACGTCCGGTGCGAATGGTTCATTCTTCGTTGCTCGCAATCGCACGCCGATAGTACGGCGGCGCGACACATGCTTGCGCAAACCATTGTCTTAGTGTTGCATTTGTATCATCCTAATGTATGACCACGTATCATGGACCATCAAGCTGTCCTAGGAACGTGTAAGACGGCGCTCATCAGAAGCGTCATCTTTTGAACCACTCCCCCTTCCCCTCAGCCCCGCGTTTTTGAACTTTGAAATCAAGCATAAGTGGAAGAACCTGTTCCTTGCGAAAATATTTTAGATATTTTAGTTTCGCATCACTCAAGTAGAAGTTTCTGATGAGTGCTGTCAGTGCGTCCGAACGGCCATCGATGGATTATCGTAAAGCAAAATTCTTAAGGCCCGTTCACACGCTTGCAACCCAGTTCGACCAAGAGAGACGAGACCTGTTGAAACCTCTTAAATTTTTTTAGGACGAGAGAACACACTGGCATGCATGCGCCATCTATGCGTTGACGCTAGAACTGCATTTGACAAGAGCGAATGTTTTGCGGGATTTTCGAAGTTAAATGTGCATAATACCTATAAAAAAGGCTCGTCTATAATGTTGACAAAAGTTTTTCCAGCCAAAAAAGAAAAATTAATGCGCCAGAGAAATAGAGAATATTCCGGACCGTCAAGTCTGCACTGCTACCCAATAGATGGCGCCAGTGTTTCCTCTCGTCGTAAGAGGTATTAGATGGTTCCAAGGCGCTCGGTTCTAACAGGTTGCAAGTGTGTGAACGGGCCTTTAGGCATTCAGCAATCATCGGGGTATTAGGGGATTTTTGTAAATTGTATGGAACAGCTCGTGCTGTCACTTCAAGCTCACCTTGAACACCCGCCCACGGGACCCTCAACGCGCAACGTATGTTTTACGTAAAGCTGTTATTATCTTGGCAGTTTTTTTTTTGAAAATAACGGGAGACATTAGATGCGAGATAGGAATGAGGTTGTCGTTCCATCAATGAAGCTTATTGTCACGAAATTAGTTTATTCTGCGCTTGTTGGTAAACATCCGAGAGTCGAACCGGCGTTGATTCTGGTTCCGTCTTAGGTACATTAGGTACAGTATATTTACATTTCGTTCCGGCTCGATTTCGGTTCAGTGATACATCCGAAATATCGGTTCGGTTACCCGTTCCATCAAGTGCGAATCGGTTCAAACGGGTCAAGAAATCTACCTTAAACCGCTGCCGCCCGCGCATTTCCTGCGAAAAAAGAAATGAAAAATAATATCAATAACAGAAAAGCGTTTTCAACACAAAATCATCTCCATAAAAAAAAAAAAAATAAACAGAAGTGCTTCTTAAAGCCGTAATGCGGAGACGAGCACAGAAAAACAAATATATGCTTAAATTTGTTTCCTGATCTTGACGTTTTATTGTGAATACCGCTTTATGAAAATTTCGTAGTTATACCGGCACTGGTAAACTATGCCAAAGTACGGTACTCACCTGTAAACTCAGTCAGCCAGCACGCACAGTGACTGAGACGATTGCTCTCACCATACTCGCAAACTGGCCACCGTCCGCACGCCCACACGACTCGGACGACTGAGTTGTAGAGGAGAAAGGCAGCGAACGACAGTCGAAAGGTGATTAAAACAAAAAGGAGAGAAAGAAACACGGTCAGCATAATGCATTTAAAAAACACGCATAAAAACAAAAGCGTCGGGGGCTATGGGGCTACTGCGCTGCCCAGAGGGCGCTGCGAAAATTTAGTTGTTAGGACTTCTTTTATGTTGAGTCACTGAATGTTCCAAGAGTACCGAATTCAATTCATTCCACTTACCGAAAGTGAACCCCCCGGAATCCAGTTCTGATTGGCGGGTTTAACCCGCGGCGGAAATTATCAGTCGGCCATTTTGCAGGTTAACCCAACCCAACATACACACACACACACACACACACACACACACACACACACACACACACACACACACACACACACACACACACACACACACACACACACACACACACACACACACACACACACACACACACACACACACACACACACACACACAAACACACACACACACACACACACACACACACACACACACACACACACAAAAAAAAAAAAAAAGAAAACACAAAAACATGTAAAGCTTTACCGCTTTACCACGGCTGCGCACGGGAAGCTCTGGCCATCGATGAGTTAGGACCGAACGGAAGGTGTGTCGATTTTCTCTAGATTGTTTTTTTCTATCAAGCAGCCCCTAATCTGGTTTTCCAAAGAAGATTGCCGGCTTGTTTGCTCGCTCCGCTTGCGCCGGTGCTTCGTTTCAAACCCTACGGCTTAGACACTAAGCCTAACACTGTATCCACATAGCTGTAGTGTTTGTTTAGTCAAAACGGCGCCGCTGAGACCACCGTCGCGAATATTTAATTGATTTCATCCCACCACTCGCATGAAGGCACGGCTTACATTTTATTGCACCGAACCGTTTTCTAATAAACCGGTAACCGCCATATAAGATCACGGTTCCTTCCCAGTTCGGTTAAAATATCAAAGGTTCGATTTCGGTCACGGTTTTCTTCCCGTTCGGTCAAAAATAACTGTTTTGCTCCGGTTATCGGTTCGGGTTCGGTTTGACACTCTGGTGAAAGCACCAACGAGTGCAGAAGAAACTGAAATATTGAGTCCCAATTGGGACTCGAGGCTCTACCAGAGGCAGCGGCGCGAGCGCTGTGTTCTGCTTGGGGCCGCTGGCGTCTGTCACTTTCTCCTACGCCCGCGTTCGTATTCAGCTTGTCGGAGACTCACTAGCTGTCACTCGGAAAACCAGAACTAATGGCAGATCTTCCCGAGTGAGAGCGACACGGGAGTGGCGAGCGGGCTATTCGCGGGAGCGAGATTTATCGCGGAACAGAGACATCAGCGCGCATTAGGCCTAGCAGACCGGAACTAATTCTGGGCTTCACTATCTCCAGGCTGGAAAAGAAAACTCTCGGGCTCACCGTGGCAATGACCTCCGGGGGCCGTGGGAAGACTGCCGCCTCGCCGCAAAATATTGCGGGCCAACGACAGTTCTCGAACATCACTCAGCTTCGTGACGCGTTGGACTCCCAGCTGCCATGGTCTTTTTTTTTACTTTCGGCTCTATCGTGCGAGCCAATTGAAGACTGCAGATTTGTGTGCGCGCAGACGAAGCGGGCAGCGAACAAGAAAACGAAATTTCTTATTATTGCGTAAGATATCTACCTCGGGTCAAAGTCAGTGAGCCTGGGTCTAGACCTCGTTAATCGGACCAATATATCATTCCGGAAATAGACGGGGACCCCACCGTCTTGCTCGACGTATTATGACGATACGATATAGGGCACGAAAGAGATCACCCAGGAATTGAAGACGAATTTGATGTTGGTTCGCGTCGTGATTTTAAAACGCAAAGAAGGAAGGAAGAAATCAATCCAAATTTTGTGATGGGCTTGTTTAGTGTTCGTTTTACTCGCCGCGCCTTTTTAACCACAATAATGAAAGAGGATGAATCCTGCCGCTTCCAAGATTTACAAAACAATCCGAGTCGGTCCAAGAGTACATCATACCCTTCGGAGTACTGTGCAATGTGGGATAACCTCGAGGTCTCCTGGGACTTTTCGGAAAAGCTTTCTTTCGCGGTCGGACCACTGGTTGTTTTCATTTATGATCATTTGCAGAAGTACTACAAAGGGAGCACCTGTTGCATTCTATTGTATCGGACGTTCGCAGCACGCAATGCATACAAGGCAGGGAGCACAACATGTGCGAGGAGCTGTCTTTTGTTTAAGTCTTTTTTTATTTTTTGGTAGGGAAGCTGCATCAGCGGAGCTGCGTCACATGTTCGGGAAACTGGCCGGCGTCTTGGGAGCTTCGGGAGGGAACAAAGCGAGGGAAAGAGGAGACAAAGGATCGCTCTCACGATCGCCGAGTTTCCCACTTATTCGTTGTGTAACGCGCGGATTCTGTTTCCCGCCCGGTGGGGCATTAGTAACACAAAACGGGGGGAAAGAAGCCCGACCGCGCCATTCTCTACCATCGATGGGGCAAAGAAAGACCGACAAAAAACGTCAAGGAGCACATTTAGCGCACGCTCGTAACATGTTGCTAAGGGAGTTCGTGTACCGTGACATACCGTTTTTTTAATATAGCGTTTTAAAATAAGGCACACATACTTCGGGTCCTCCAAACAGTTTGGGGCGTAGCACTGCGTATGCGCAGAATGACGGCTGCTGGCTCCCTGTTCTAAATCTCTCCTTCAGCGCTCGTTCGATTTTAGTACCGGAACGCGCTCAATATATCTACAGTGTGTTCGAGTGTTGGTGGATTGGTGTCAAAGCAGGTTCGCGCACCGAAGGTTGGAGGACGTAAAGAGAAAGCTCGCGATCAAGAACCCAGGGATTCTGGGTCCAATCCCCATTTCAGCCCGTTTTGATATGGATGAGCAACGTGCGGGGTGTGGTTATGCAACGCGATACTGCGTGATGCAGGTTAAATACTCCAGGCTAGGAGTGGTGCAGCAGTGGCTAAGTTGTTTAACTACGGCGAAGATACCAGGTGCTTATTAGGAAATGACTGACTGTACGCTTTTTAAACACATACGCAATATAGCTTTTTTATTGAGTGTGACATATAACTGCTAAGCTAGCTTTATTAATTGTAACTTATAATTAATGACAGAACTAGAAACCCCGGTTGTGGCAGCATCGCCCTAACGTAAGTTCGGGTAACCTTGCTAAAATATGGGCGGTACCGACCCGTCATGAGCAGTGAATTAATATTGATTGAGCAAGCTCGTCTGTTATCTTTAAGAGTTTACTCGCCGTTGATCTCGGAATCAGGCTCCTCGACGACTGTGGGTCGGAAGTATCATAGAGTCAGTTTCAATGTCACGAACAAATGTCTTTATCAGATAATCCAAATTTTCTTGGGAGCGTACCAATGGTCAGTCAGGGTAAAAAAGAAAAATAGGTTTTAGAAAACTAAAACTGAAACAAATATTTGAAGAACATAAGAGTCTCTCGCCAAACGCGACAAGTTGTAAAAAAAACAAAAAAACAACAAAAAAAAAAACACACACACAATGAAGGACATGAAGTAAAACATGTGACCCTCGTATACTATTGAATGTTGTCTTTTTGTTACTACAGTTAGGCGTATGCGAACCAACAATGTGTTATTATTTATTATTTATTTATTTCAAAATACTGCGACCTCGATGAGGTCATCGCAGGAGTGGAGAGAAAACATACATATACATTAAAAAAGGTCATC